AAACTACATTTATGCTTATGGGAATCAGAGCCATGGGGAGACTTCCTCGTTGGGCTAAACACCAACTTTTTCCCAATGTTAGGGGGTCAAATCTGTTAGTACACCTCCAAAATTGCATGCTCTAAATGGACCCAGGCACCAGTGCACACAAAGGCAAAGCATACTCTTTAACAAATGCTGTTGGAGTACTTAGTACAGCCACTCAGGAAAAAAAAAAAAATTAAATTGTATCCTTCTCACATTTAACAAAATTCTAGAATGATTTAGAATTAAATGTAAAAGTAGAAATCTAGATAAGAAAAGTAACATTTGTGCAAAAACTGAGCAGTGTTTCAAAGGAAAAGCCATGAAGAAAAAATGACTACATAAAGTTATTAAAATCTCCCAAACAAAACACACCATATAATTGTTTTAAAATTAAGGTTTTCAAAGGGCTACCATCCTTACACAAAGCTATTAAAAGATAATCACCAGATAATTAAATACAATCAATAAATATGATACCTGGCTAACATGGAGTAATGAATTTCACTAGTAAGCATAGATGAGTTAAAACAAGATGATTTGACATCCATTAAACAGATAAGCTTGATATTTAAATACCCAACATACTCAATGAAAAGGAGAGTAACACGAATGTGAAACTGGCAAACATTTGCTAAGAGAAATTTGGAAATAGCAAACACTTAAGTGTAGGCTTTAAAACAGCAATTCCAAGAAATTTTGTATTTGTATGTACATATGTAATTATGTGGGTTTTCCTCACATTGTTATTTATAACAGAATTGTTAGATATATTCTGGTTCCAGCAATAAGGAGTATTAACCTATTAAGGAAAAGTTTACCACCACTTAGAAGAGGATAGAATTATTGACAGGATGTTTACAATGTATTATTAAATGGAAAAAATCTAATTACAAAGCTGTGGGCAGTATAGTTCTATTGTTTTTTAGTAAAATTTTTAGATTATGCATTTGTTACACATCTAGCAAAGGGCAACAACAGTGGTTATCTCTGGATGTGATCCTACATTTCCTATTATGTACAAATATAAAATAAGGGCCCTGGATTTTAAGCTTTGTCAATAAAACATGGTAGTAAGTGGTCTTTATCAGGTAAGATTATTTACAAAAGCCTGTTCTGAATATAAGAAAACAAGGCTAAAAATTGCCTGGAATGCTTATGCTAGTTTATTTACATTCTATCAAATACAGCCTTTACTTTTTTTTTTAAACAAATGGCCTAAAAACATTGAACAATTATAAGACTTTTATACTAAAAATTCTTGCAAAAAAGTACAATACTTTTACAAGTTAACTTAATTGTGAAAAAATCATAAAAGTTTATTCACTAGTCTCAATTTATATGTAGTTAGATCTACAAAATTCCTTTTAAGTGGGATATTTGTTATAGTGAAAGAACTAAGACCCACAAAACGTATCAGGCATTATTCAAGGACATTATCTTTCCCATGACAAAAATTTTGTTGCCCCCATCTTCAATCTTTGATAGCTTACTGGTCAGTAATAGCTTTTAAACAATTAAACTGGGAATAGTTTTTTTTTTTTTTTTTTTTAAAGATTTATTTATTCATACAGAACTGGGGTACAGGCCAGAGGCTCAGGGGCGGTGAGAGGCTTCACCAGAGACAGAGTGGGGAGCAGAACAGGCAGATCGACGAAGTACACTGCTGAGGGGAGCAGCGGGCGGGTCAGGAGAGGTCTGGCTCGCCATGTGGTCTCCTCCGGGGCAGGCGGCAGGCGGGAATCGAACTCATGCGGAAGTGGCTTCAGATTCTCAGTGCTGTGCTTTAACCCGCTGCGCCACCAGGGAGGGCCTAGTTTTAATAAATTATATGGGGAGGCTCTTAGTAAATGATAAGCCCCTTATAAAACCATCTGAATTTATAAAATCCTGGAAGAATTGTACAGGAATGTTTATAGGTCTGCTGATGCCAATTTTCTTCTGAAAAATTAACACATTTTAATGACTCAATTTTATTATCTAATAGTTATATAGCTATTGTATTTTTAAAATGAAGAGACTTTTTAAACACTACATTTAAAACAGCTTCTAATTCAGTAAGTACATTTTTGAAAAATGTCATTTTTTCTGAGTTGCTCTTTCAAAGCCAACTGTGTTAAACTAGTTGTTCCATGTTCTAAAATTTCAATTTACTGTAAAACTGGTGAATACTTTAACAATTTTCTCTTAAAAAGTTTAGTGTTTGTTGCATAATTTAGGTAAGACAAGAACAACCAATGGCAATCCATCTAAGAGTCTCACTTTTCTTGGCTGTAAGCTAAGATAGAACAGATGATTTTATTATTTGGACATCCTATTCAGCCTTTTAAAATAATTTTTAAAAAAGACTAGAGTGAAAAATCACCTAGAGTTTTGTTATGCTTATAGCAAGTAGTTTAATTCAGATATACCAACAGAACTGAGAAGCATTTTACCCATTACATCCTTCTCAAATCTTGATATAGCCTAGAGATTGGCCTATTGTACATTATCCAGAAGAAAGTGACTATTTGTTTTCAATACTGAGTTTCTACTTCTATTTCTTTCCAGAATTTGATTTCTCCAAGTTGAGTTTGAAGTTTTTCAAAGACACTCATTTTCATTTCTTTTATTTGTCAAGTGTAATAGGTACATACAGATGAGAGTAGCAAATACCACTAGCCTTTCCAGACATTTTTTTAAAATCACCTTTCTCATTTTTGAACCCACTAGGAGTATGATTTAATGCCTTTCATTATTCCAAGTACTAGAATAGTTATCTAGCACTAGGTATTACTGAACATGTATTTACTGACAGAATGAAGCTCTGAATCACACTTAAGACATTACCTTAATTTATACTTCATAAATCTGTAATCAATAAATTGAACCTTTCAAAATTTCAAGGGTGACTGCAACTTTTCAACACATAATGAAAACTTGGGAAATATATTGAGTTACATGCAGAAAAGCTTGCAGTGTCAGAAAATACATAAGGAAATTTTCACATAGGAACTATTTTCTTTTTGGTATATCGACCTTTTCTGTAAGTCGTATTTGCAAATATGACTTACCCATCTCTTCCTCAAAAACTTAAGCAGTATTTTATGATCTTCAGGTTTCACTCAAGAATACACAATGATTATTTGAATTTCCCAACTTTGCTCTTTGTATTAACCCAAATTTACTGAATTATTAAGTGGTATTGAAGAATGCAGAGATCATTTTTATATAATCTTACCACTGAATTTTAATGTTTCTTTTGTCACATTTTAGCTTTATGTGGTGGTTTGATGGGCAACACTTTCTCCATGTAGTGCATAAAACATCAGCATATCTCACACAAAATTAGCTATTTTAGAATATTTGATGCTGCAGTTCAAATTTTCAATTTCAAACAATTTCCTGTATTCCCAGCCACTCTCCCAACAAAGTATGTAACTTAAATGGTTAATTAGAAAAACTAACCAAACACAGTTCAATTTTATATAAAATATTTAATTTTTAAAACACAGGCTATTCATGTCACATAAATATCTTCAATTTTAGGTTAGCTGCTTATGGTCAGCAGATTATCAAGTGTGACTATTAAGAATAACTTAGATACTGTCACTTATGGGGAAGTCTAAAGCTCTAAGACTCACCATTTTAAAATTTTCAGATACTTGAATACTGTAACTATTTTGCTAAATTTCAAAATATTTCTTCACTTCTTGCAATGTAATTTTATAAGTTGTTAGTACTCAATATTCAAATAAAAGCAAAATAATTTTTCTCCCATTAGTTTTTCTCTCAAACAAAAAATTCCATCAAAAAATAAAATGTTCAGCTGACATCAACTATTTTATAGCAGTGAAATGGTAAACTGTCCGCTTTAAAATATTTTTCCTGTCATCAAGCTATAATGCTTTCCATATGCAATTTTGAAATGAAAGTTCAAGTCAGATACAGGGCACAGAATTAAAAGACTGACTGTAGAACTGGAACAATTTCCAGTCTATAATAGTTGTTCTAATTTAAAATTCCAATCAAAAATTAAATTACCAGAAGAACAGTTAAACAAAATGGTTGATTGGCACCTTTGGTTCCTTTCTAGAATTATTACAACTGTAAGTGTGAGTGCGTACAAAGAGTTAGACTTGACAGCATTACAGTTTAAATAATGGTTAGTCCATCATCTTTGCTGCTTTTAATTAAAAAAAAAAAAACTAAAAGTTCTTCAAAGTTTGGTAGACATCATAATAAACAGCACAGAAGGTGAGAGGAGAGATGATAACAGGTTTTCTCTCAGTACTTTTTCTTTTTTGCTTCAACAAATTCAATCTAGACAAGGCTTCTAGTTAACAGTTGATTTTTTTCTTAAAATTGCAACTGCATAACTTAAAATATGGTGCTTGTCACCCTCCCTCCATGAACTTTATTAAAGTTATGTGAATTCTGTTATTAATCTTGCCTCTGTCCTACCGCCCTCCAGTCACCCAAGGCAAAAGGAAACAGAGACAAGAAGGCAGCCTGAAAAGAACAGTATTCTAAAATTTTCATTTAGCTATTATTTTCAACCATTTAAAAAAATGTCAAAACTTTTTAGAACTTCTCGGAAGTAACAAAAGGTACTGATTGCAGTTTTACTCCCCTTCTTTGCTCTCACTCCCCTATCAAGTGAAGGTGACAGCAGAAGCTAACACAGCCCAAAGACAGGCAGGAGAGGAGCAAGTGTGATAGGCAGAAAGATGGATCTACAGGAACTGAACAGGCAGTCCCTAAACACTTGAGAGCTTCCTGTCTCTTCAATATATTGATTCCCTTTAGAAGACAAATAGGTGTAAAGATTAACTACTTTTTCAGACCTTAAGCTTACCTGTTAAGGCACTTACTTACAACCCTCCCCAACCCACCCATATTTTTTCATATAAAACCCATATTGTTTGAATGTATCTGCTAGGCTATGATAATCTGCAAAATAAAACAAAAATAACGTTGACCATTTTTTTTTTTATAAAACTGTTGCATCAAGAGAAAGGTTGTGTTTTATTTTCTGAAATGAGCACAAAGTACACCTTTCACAATAACACTGAAAGCAGGTGCAAAGACTGACAGTGACCTTTGACTAAAGGTAGCTTTGTAAAAAGAAAAATACCAAATAAATCAGTGCCCTTTCTGATTGTTGTAAAACTGGAAGGGTGAGGGAGGGGTTGGTTGGCTGTTACATAAAAGTTGGTCCAAACTTACAAAAAAAGCACAAATGTGCATAGTTCAGAAGATCTGCAAGAGGGCCATAAAAGACTTATGTCCCTAAGATTAGCATCCACTTAAAACTGCAATACAAAATAAAATTGTTAACTAGAATTTGTGAAGATGTACAATCAATAGATCTAGTCTTTAGAACAGCATGAATGTAAGCAAAGGTTTTTTTTTTTTTTTTTGTCTTTTTTAAACTATTGTATGCAAGACCCTTTTCCACATAAAAATAAAGCTGTTGTTGAATTAATATTATTCAAGTCTCTTGGATTGCTGCTTTAAACTGCAGCTAGAAAAGTCTTTCCAGATAAAAATGATGTGCCTGAGGAAAAACAGATACTCAGTATGGCAACCCTCTGCCTCGACCTCTGCCAGTTGATGTGCTAATGTGTCCCCTATATCCTTGTGAATATCCAGGTCCTTGGGCAGGAGAAGTCCAGGTCTGTCCATGCATGAGGCCAGGGCCACCAGGGTTTTCCTGTAAGTTACCACCATAGTTATAGTTGTGCATCTTTGCTGGCAAAGGATGAGTACTTTCTGGCCCTGTGGAAGGGTCACTGCTATTTGCCAAGACTGCAATGGGGCCATGGCTATATTCAAATCTATGGTCCTTGTCTCCACTAAACAACATGGGAGCAGTATTGAGGTAAATGTCTCCATATGCAGCTACTGAATTGGGAAATGACTCAGAAAAGGCAGAAGGCTGAGGTGGACCACCAGAATGAGATGAAGAAGTACTGTAGTTATCCAAAGGCTGAATATCTGAGTTTCCAATGAAGCTACGTCGTTCCAATGTTGGAGCAGAGCTACCTCCTAGACCATCATTGCTAACATAAGGAGCAGAAGAGAAAGAAGAAGATCCAAAATTGTCCTTATAGTCAGAAGTAGGGACGTAAGTGTCTCCTGCTTGGTAATCAATACCAACTTCTCTTTTGGGATCATCTTGGGGTTGATGCTGAGCAAGTAGTTGTAACAGGGCAGCTTTCACTCCAGCATGAGGGTCAGTTAACGAAGAACTAGTAGTGGGTACGTGCTGGTTTTCTGTCCGATAGTCCAGATCTTCTTCAGTGACTGGTGGTGGTTCAGGTGGTTCAGGAGGTCGTTGATCAGGAGGCAGAATACGAGGCCGTTCTGGTTCTGGTGTGAGCTCCAATATCCTCATATCTTGGTGCTGGATGAGGTCATCTTGCCCTAAGTAAGACGAAATGAAAGACAGGTTAAAAGCTTTACCATGTAAACTATATGTTCAAAATGGCTTGTGTTTCCTTAAGTGACCGTAAAGACCCCTAGCAGATCCATCTCTGGTTAAAAAAGGAGAAAGAAAACCATTAAGGGAATTAGAAAAAGACAGTTATGGACTACTACTGCCTGCTACCACTTAAGACTTAGTAACTGAAACATTTCATTGTATTTGATTTCACAATTATTTACTGCTTCAAGAACAAAAAACTATTACATCAAATTTATGCCTTAGTCAACTTGTCATGTTATAGTGTTATAGTTAGAACAAAGATCATTTCTTAACTATGGATAAAAACTACGGTATTCAAAATGAGTTACTTACACATAAATAAATGGTTAAAAAGTCAATTTATAGGAGTAAAAAAACCAATTACCAGTCAATAACAAGTGATCTGATATTCAGGACATCTAACAATGTCCCTGGACAATACAAGTTACAGATAATCATTAACAGAAAGAAAACAGCATGAATGCAGTTAGTGATCTGCTATCTACACTCACCCGAGACTGGAGTGCTCGGTTCTGGAGGTGGCCTGAGTTGCAATGATGCTTCATGTCCCGACCCATTTTCTCTCTCTTCTAGCAGCGCGTCTTTCTGCTTTGACTGCTGTGCCTTTATTAACTGAGTCAACAGAACTGCAAATGCACTCTGCACAGCCGCCTGGGCAGCATCAGTCTCCACCTTAGGCTGGACACTCTGAGAAGGCTGAATTCCTCCCAATGGTTTCGAAGACTCCTGCTGTGGTGTTGATGGATCTGTCTGTTTTTCACCTGTTGCCAAAATTCCAGCAGGAAGGTTTATTTTATTTAGCTGCTGTTGAGTCTCAGAGTTTACCTTAATGTTCAACACTTGGACAAAATCAGCCATATTAACACTGGTTTTAGATTGTAGTAGGTTTAGTAGAATTGCCAATTCACTGTGGTTTAACTGTTGTCCAGGGCCTGTTTTTACTAAAGACAAAATTTGTGTCAATTAGAATTGCTGCAATTTCAGCTCCCCTCTCCCACAACTCCCATCCCCCACAATGGCTCTCTATTGGTACATTTGTGGGATGGTGTTTAAGAACAATTGTGACAAGTCTAGTTCATTATCAGTCTAGTTCAATTTCACATATAATTTAAGATGTAACTACATCTTTACAATTAAATTTTACAATTTAAGATGCAAACTACAAATTTACAAAAATAAATTATTTGGGGGGGACAAATATATCAAAAGGAAAATAAGAGTACCACCAATACCCCAAACTTTAGAGTTAACCAAGAAGTATCACCTATCAATGGGAAATACATGATGGTACTTTCGAAGCATTTTATATCCTTTATTCATTACAAAACCATCTGAGGCATGCTTTATTGGTTCCTTTTTTTTCTTCTTTAAACTAAAGAAGAAATTAAGACTAAATTACCTGCCCAAGGTCATGGACTCTATGTTGCAGAACTGAGATATAAAGCTGATACTCTGATTCCTGAATCTGAGTTTTTACTATTCACTGTATTTCTAACCTAAAATAACATTTATTATCTAAGACGCTAATCTTTGCAGTAAATTCAAACTTGAATATTGCAGATTCTTGATATATTTTACTTAAGTTGCTTTTATTTAAATCCCTTTGAGTAAGTTGGAACTCCTACAAAGGATGCTTGTTATTAACATGCATAATATAACATGCATAATATATGACCAGTAAAACAGATTAGGTTTTTTTACTTTTGCCAATTTTCAGTTTAGACTTATAGGAGTTTACATAAATTCTTCTGCAAGCTTTCTGAGTCAATATATAACACGGCTCAAAAGCACATATTATATGTTAAGTGATAATACAAATATTCATAAACAATTTCCATAACCATAGATGACAGACTAATAGGACAGAAACTCCAAGATGATGAAATACTGCTAATACGTTTTACAGCCCCTGCATATACTGTGAGATACATTTTACTATTTCTTAATAATAGTTTTAGATTAATTCAAGACAACCTTTGCAGGCATTAATAAGAAAATCAAGCTAGGTTGCTATATCCCAAGAGCCAGTTTTCTCATTTCCCCCTTCCTTTCTCTGTGAGTAAAGGAGTGTCTCCTCTACAGAAGGGACATTTTTTTATTTCAAGAAACTTACTGATGATGAAGAAAATAGAGCAAAGAGGATTCATTCCTATTTCAAAAAACCAGAATTCTTACTTCTTAACAGCGACAGTTTAAAAAAAAGGAAAACAAAAAATAAAATTAAACTCTCCATCATTAATCAAATTGTTAGAACTAAGAAACAATAACAAAATGAACTCAAAAGGGTTATTACTATTTCTTGTAACCAGTTAAAACTATTCCACTAGTTTGCTAGCAGAATAGGACATCTGTTCCATGAAGAGTAGAACTACAGATCTGATAGTCTTACTAAAGAATGTAACACAGTTATCTGTAACAACCGACCAGAATCCAAACTTTGTCACCACTACATCAACGTTTTCAGTATTAAATGGAATATAAAATATCTAGTATAAATACAAATTATGAAAACTTCTATTGCTTCACTTTTGCCTTCAAATTTTACATAATTTTTCATGTGGCAAATATTGAACTTGATATAGACAACCTTCATTATGTTTAAAAGCTGTGTTCTCCAAAGTGTATCTATCAAACTTTTTCATGTAAGGGGGATGTACTATTTTAAATTCTTCTGAAGAGTAATTTTTTTTTTAAAGATTTATTTACTTGTGCATACAGAACTGGAGCGCAGGCCAAAGGCTCAGGGGCGGTGAGAGGCTTCACCAGAGACAGAGTGCGGAACAGAACAGGCAGACTGACGAAGTACACTGCTGAGGCGAGCAGCGGGCAGGTCAGGAGAGGTCTGCCATGCCATGTGGTCACCTCCGGGGCAAGCGGGAATCAAACTCATGCGGAAGTGGCTTTAGATTCTCAGTGCTGTGCTTTAACCTGCTGCGCCACCAGGGAGGGCCCTGAAGAGTATTTTTGAACAAGAAATAGCATTTTCTTTTGGATTTTAAAGTAGCAATATAGCATCTTAATGCAGTCTGTCCTAGATCAAGTATTAAATCTTTGATTACACAGGAAAGAATGAATTACAGTATTTATCAAGCTTTCTTCACTAATCTACTCTATTTACACTCAATTACTAAAAATTCAGTCTGAGCCACAAATCTGGTTTTTTATATATAATAGTTTATTTTTACATTTTTTTTTTAAAGATTTATTTATTTGTGCATACAGAACTGGGGTACAGGCCAGAGGCTCAGGGGTGGTGAGAGGCTTCACCAGAGATAGAGTCGGGAACAGAACAGGCAGATCAATGAAGTACACTGCTGAGGGGAGCAGGGGGTGGGTCAGGAGAGGTCTGCCACACCATGTGGTCACCTCCCGGGCAGGCGGGAATCGAACTCATGCAGAAGCGGCTTTAGATTCTCAGTGCTGTGCTTTAACCCGCTGCGCCACCAGGGAGGGCCATATTTTTACATATTTTTGTACATTTTTCCATCTCAGTTACAATCCTCTTGGCACAAATCTGTTTTAATTAAATGACTTATCAATTAATATATACCTATACCCATCACTCAAGTGCTAAGCTACTTTTTCATAATAAACTTCCATATCTCCATACATGAACTCATATTTATTAACTTCATATCTTTCTCTTTGTCAAAAAAGTAAACTAAAGCCAAATAGTTTCTGGATTGTTGAGGCAAAATGAGTAAGTGAATTCAATTTTTCAAAAGCTTTTAAATAAATAAGAGAATAAGTTTAACCACACTTCTGACAGCATTAAAGAGCTGGTTCATCATATAGAAGTTTACTCATAACAGATGAAGTCAAAAAAACATTTAAGTTTCCCCAAAATATTGTTCTTTATCAGACTTCAAGTCAATTTGGGCACAGTATCAAATCTCAAACTTTGAGATTCTATAATACATGTTAAATATATTAAGAATGATCTGAGGCCCTCCCTGGTGGCACAGTGGGTTAAAGCACAGCACTGAGAAGTTTAAGCCACTTCCACTAGAGTTCAATCCCCGCCAGCCCCAGAGGAGATCCACATGATGCGGCAGACCTCTCCTGACCCGCCCACTGCTCTCCTCAGCAGAGTACTTCATGGATCTGCCTGTTCTTGTTCCCCGCTCTGTCTCTGGTTAACCCTCTCACCCTCCCCAACTCTGACCTGTACCCCGGTTCTGGATGAATAAATATATAAATCTTTAAAAAAAAAAAAAAAGAATGATCTGAGGCCTTTACAAGAAATATGAAATAAGTCTGACTATGATTTTTGGCTGTCTTTTCCATGTTTCTTCTTACTCTATGAGAATCTAGATAGTGGATACTATCTCACTGAAAAAAGTCTCAATAAAAGATCTATTGACTCCTGCCCTAGAGAGATAATAAAACCTCAGTAATATGACCAATAAATAGCTGATCAAATGTAATGCTGTGTTCTTTTCTCACGTTAATCTTCGCTTGCAACTGCTTGCTTAAAACTGTGGTGTCAGTATCAGTGAAATGTCTGTTCTGGCACAAGTGAATAAAAAGGAAATAATCAAACTCAGTGCATAAGCCTTAGTATTCACCTTTTAGCTACAAGATGTTTTAACACAAGAACATCAACACTAGCCACAAATGTGAAGGAGATTGAGACATGGAAGCATTACTAACCAGGTGCTACATTCGAGTTGCCCTGAGTTTTCAGTTGTGAAGATGGCAGTGCACCCTGAGGTGTGCTGGTTCTGCTGTCATCTAAGCCCAGAGACAAGTCTTTTCTGGGAGCTTTAATTGTGGAACCATCATCAGTCATGCCCATCTGCTTTTGTCGTCTTCGCTTTTTACTCCATAATTCATGACAATCTTGCCATAAAGGAAGGCTGGGGGTAAAACATTAAGTAGTCTGAATGGCATTTCTTAACAACAACAAAAAAAGGCTAACAGATACTACATTCACCAAAGCTGTCACCCATTGGCCCGAGCAATGCGTTCCTGAATACTTAATACATAGGTTTTGTAAAATCCTCCAATAAAAAAATCATTCTTGATACCCACATCCGCCAGAGCTTCACCTTTTATACATTAACTGTACACTGAACACTCAAAGAATAATGATTAGAACTATGAAGAATGTGAGTTTATAAAAAGTAGGTTACTATTATCCTTGGTGCCATCTTTTAAAGTCAATTCTTATCACAATACATCATACATTGAACAGGACATAAAAAGAAGGCAAAAAAGAAAAAGCTATTTGCAGAAACTGATCAGAGAATTAAAATGTAGTAAAAACTAGGACATAATAATTGTGAAAAGCTTCCTGGTAAAAGCCTTTTATTTCTGAATATCCTCGTTTCTAAAATCAAACGTGGTAGAATTAAACTAACGTTACAGAGGAGTTTCAAAAATAGGTAATCCAGGTTCATTACTCATTATCATAGAGTTCTGAAAAACTAGCAACTATCAAAATTACAACCATTCTGAAGCAATTCAACTTTAATTTCATGAAACTGAATACTGCAGAGTAATTTTTGTTTAAAGAAAGATACTACTATCTGATTATAAATGTTTTCTTTTTACCCTAATAAAAAATCCAATTGGATGTTACTATTATATCTATTTTAAAGATAAGAAAATTGAGGCTTGGAAAGGTTAATAAACTTGCCCAGAATATCTATAAATTCCCTTAAGCAGCCCCAACCTGGTGCTATACCTACAGTTTTTAACATGGATATGTTTACAACTAGGGATACCAGGGAATACACCTGGAATTGTCTTAAAGAATGCCATATCCTTTATGTTCTCAATCTTTTAAAATGACCTGCATATTCAGCAAGTGCTTTTTATACCTCTTCTTCCACATTTACCCTTACTCTCATGTTATAAAATAAAGGCATATGCAACAATTATGGTCAAATCTTAGCAATATAAGTATAAAAAAGCTCATTTCCAAAAGATTACAAACAGCATGACACCCTTTATAAAATAAAAACAACTAAAATTTAAAATTTTAACTTTTTATGAATACATATAGATGGCAACAAAAAGTATATATAAAAGAAAACAGGGATGATGGTCACCTCAGGTGGAGGAAGGCAAGGAGATAGGTCGTGGGGGTTGAAGGGTAGAGGGTATGATATGATTAAAAGATTATTTTCAAGGTTCTAGCTTTTATCTGGTAGATTCATGGCTGCTTATTCACATTATTTAAAAATAACTAAATTAAGTAAATAACTAAAAGAAAAAGAGAGCCATGCATGGACCAATGATGAGTGACACAAGAATTATGATTAAACCAAGTCTATGCACCTGAGGTCCAAAAACAAAACAAAGGCATACCTCTCAGCCATCTTACTATGGTGCATTGCCTCAGCGTGTAAAAACCGCCTGGAGTAACAAACAAAGGGACAATTTGAAATATTGATATCGGGAAGCTTTCAGGCATTATAAACCCGCCAAAGACGTTCTTTTTCTCTGTGTGTATGTATTCTATGTGTAGTCTTTGCCTATCGTTGGGATATTCTGAAACCAGATACTGCTACTGCAGAGTGGGGTTAATTAGAATGATTTTGCCACTTTCATCTTGATATTCAGAGAGTGCATTACTCTTGTGGGGAAGTCCTATGAGAGTAAAATGAAGAAATAATTAAAAAGAGAGTTTTTGTTCCCTCCCATGATTTATAAGTGATTTATAAGTGATAAGAGATTCTTCACAAATGAACAAATGATCTCAATACTCATTTCTAGGAAAGAAAAGCATTACCCAACAAAACACTCCAGAAATGTTTTCTGGGATAATCAAATCTTTGTGTGCTTCCAAAAGGTTCAAATACTGGCTCAGCCACTTTCTATGTCTCACTAGGCAAGTAACTTGACCTCAGTGCCTCAGTTTCCTTATGTTTAAAAATGAAATTAAAACAGTATAATCTACCTTACTGGTGTAGATAGTATTTGCTAACATGTGATGAACAGTACTTCTCAAATAGTTGGTAATATAATCATGGCTGGTATCATTTGTAAAAATTTAATAAGGTACTTGATATTTGATATTTTATTAAATATCATGACTATCAATTAAAGTTGATCTAGTTTATCTGTCTAATGCTTTTTATTTGCTGCTTAGAAAAAATGTATATAAACCAGCTGTCAATCTACTTTAATTGCTAGCAATACCACCTTTTTCTTTCGATTAAATAAACCTGGAAAGTTACACTATCTAATACAATTAATAAAGCTATTTTAATATTTTTATAGCCACCCTTCACTTTATTACAAAAAGCCTAATCACAAGATCTGAATACAAATACACAGTCTGTACCATATAATTTATAATTTCAATTACCCATTACATTATTATAAAATAAGACCTTGTTATTTAACCTTTTATTTAAATATTAGATCAATACCATTCTAATTTCTGATCTAGCAGCATATTCAATAAGCTATAATTTTTAGCTTATAGATTTCTTGATAAGGTATGTTTCGTATACCACTCAAAGCATCTTTATTTTTAATGAAAAAATGGTTATGTTCTGATAAAAGTTAAAGTGATTTAATGACCAGGTAAGAAATCTGTTGGTAAGCTATGTAGTTTCCAATTCTTTACTGTCAAGAAAACTAAAGAGAAGGAATCTTAAATTGACATTTAAGAGGTCATTAAAATAACTGATGACTTTTCTAGTTAAGTGCTTATTTACAAGAGAATTTATAAAATTAAATTATAATTCATGTGGAACTATTTCTCACTATGGAATAAGTAATAATAGCCAGCAGAGATGCAAAATTAAGGGGGGAAAAAAATCTTCAGTTTTTTTTTTTCATTAAGTTGTATTTTCAATAAAACTTCCCAATTTTTCTTTTTAAGTTGAAATTTGTACTACAAATGTTTGCAATGACAAACTCATCAAGAGAAAAGAGCTTTACAGTGAGAAGGCTATTTTTTAAAGTAAGTTTGTATTTTATAGTGTGTTTTCACACAGAGTAATCAATAAAATATTTTTAAGTATAAATACATGTTACAATAAAATACTATGAAGCAATGTAAGTTCAAGGTACAACAGTACAGTGTCCAGTTTAAGAGTTTGTTTTTACATTTTCTAGTGAATGTTGGGGGAATGCTAAAGTTATTTTTACTCTAAGAGACGTAAGAGTGAGATAACTGCTCCTTTTTAAAATGTCAACATTTATGGCACATTGAAAATTACATCTTTTGTAACTACTTGAATCCTTCACTTAAAAAAGTTGGTTATCAACGGAAAGAGTGGCTTGATAATAGGTTGTCAGAAGTCAGCATGAATTTTTGCTTGAAAAACAAAAAAATACATCATGGCTTTTCCAACAACACAGTAGCTTTATTAGAATATTTCAAATGGACCACTTTAAATGAGAGATGGTAACTTATTATTACCAATAATGGAAAGAAAATGACATATTCCTTTGGCTATGATACAGCTGAAAGCGCACATTATTACTTAGGTAGTAAGTAGTCTTGCCAAAAAAAAAATGTTAATCTAATTCTTACTGGAAAAAAGCTATCAAATTCAGATTGTAGACCATTTTAACAAAACAGGTAGGCTAGGTTCTTCAAAAATATCAGAAATCCTCCCCAAAAAATGATAAAACAGACATGACAACTGAATGAAATGTGTGAACTTCATTTAAAAAAGCATGTATCAGAAATTCTTGGGACAACTGAAGAACTGTGAATATGGGTTATTAGCTATTAAAAAGTTAAATTTCTCATGCTTTATAGTGGTACTATAGTTATAGAGACTAATGTCTTACTTCTTATAATACAGGTGAATTATTTATAAGCCTGAAGTTTCATTTCTATAAAATAATACTCAAATTGTTCAAGACAAATAGTTCATTCAAAGTGATAAAGCAAATGTGTCTTAAATATTCATAACTGGTGATTCTTGGTGAAGTTGATATGAAACTTATACTATTCATCCTGCAGAATGAAATCTTTCCAAAACAAAATGTTTTTAAAAATTACTGAATGGTACTAGAGCCAAAGTTTCAAGACTGTTGATACATACTCATAAGCAAAAATAAAAATAAAATATGGAGTTAACTCAACATGTGAGTGGAAGGTTCTTATTGCCTTTCAAATCATCTCAAGAACTATTCAAATACAGTTCAATAAAAACTTAATTAATAGACAATGTAAGTCCAATCTCCTCAGATAAGTGGAAGAGCCAGGATTTGAACTCCAAAGCCCATGTGCTGTTCATTCATAAATGCTTATTAATATGAAAACATTATAGGAATAGGTTTGATTTTACAATACTCATCATTTTCTAAATTAATAAAAAATCCTGTGAAGTTTCTAGCTCCTACAAAGAGGAGAAACAAATGGATTTCTTGGCCCCCTCCCCTTTCCCAAATCAGTCCTAGAGAATAATTACAGAAGTCAGAAAGAAGTGTAGGTTTAAGAATCCAGGTTTCCTGATGCCCAAATTCCATGCAATTACATCCCATCAAATATTTATTTTTCTTCAGTGATAAAAATTTTATTTTATTATATTATAGTATGCCAAGGAGCATTTCAAAACTTCTCTTTCTTACTGGTCTAACTTGAATTTGAGAGCTGGCTTTATTAGATTTGTATTCTTGGGCAAGTTTCTTAACCTCTCTGAGCCTGCTTCCTTCTCTATAAAATGATGATCACTTTAATAACCACCATATAAAGATCAACAAAAATATGTTTCACATAGCACTCAAAATTTTGGTTAAATCAACTATTAGTAACATAAGCAGTAATAATGGTAGTAGTACTAGAAGGCTACTTTTGCTAATCCTATCATTAGTGAATATTAAGCAAGAGTCTACATTCTAGTTTTGCAAAATATATGTATTACTGTTATTCTATTTTTTAACTTATCTACTTCTTTAAACTAAATCCTGGAATAGTTAATGATTACTATATACAGATGTCATTAAATTATCAAGATTCTTCATATATGGGTTCTAATATAATAAAAAAGTTACTTACTCTGGTGGAGGCATTTTTGAGGGTTCCACATCTCGTAGGAACTCACACTGAAGAGCTTGTTCTGCAGTGCAGCGCTTACTAGGATCCAAGGCGAGCATGTAATCAAATAAGTCTAGTGCAGCTGCAGGAATACTGGCATGAGAGGATTACAAAGTCATACATGTTCTTTGACATAAGTTCTCTGTTTAGGAACTTATTTCCAATTTTTTTTTAATAAATTTTAAAAATTGAAAAATATTTCTTTTTATTTAATTTTGTACCTATTCTACATAATTTGAAATCTGGCAAACAAGAATATATTTTATGGGCAGTTTGCTATGGTAACATAAACTAAGACCTAAATAAACAGTTTCCTATAAGCAAAGTAAAAACCTAAGTTCAAGTAATCTGAAAGCTGCTACATTAAAATTTAAATTGTATTATTAGAGTCTTTTCATATAAGTATAAAATCAAACATAAAACCCCAATTCATCATCCATAATACTGAAATGATAATTGTCATATAGCAAGGGAAATTCAAATAAATAGCGAGAGAAGTATGACAGCTCTCCCTTAGATCAACACAAGACAGAATGATATTTAAGATTTCAGAATAAATAACTTTAAAAATAAAAAAAATTCAATACAATATGAATGTTTAAGCATCTGCTTCTTACAAAACAAATTCTTCTCGTAACTTTCGACGATATTGCTTCTTTGGTTTCATGGTGTTGAAATATGGTAATTTGATTACATCAGGCCACACTGCAGGACATGGACTCCCACATATACGGCTAAACAACAAACAAAAAGAAGTACATCACTATTAATTACATAGAAGAAGAATATCAGTAACTGCTATACAGAATTATCACCTATTTTTAAATATACAGAAGTTGACATCCTTACACAACATAGGTTTCATTGAAATTTTAGTTATCCAAACTTAATTGTTTTAAGAAATCAATTTATTTTTCAGTAGAACCAAATATATATATATATATATATATATATATATATATATATATATATATATATATCAATAAATTAAGGAACAAGTTTAGTATACGCCTGTCTCTGATTTTACAGGTATCCTCTTTAACTCTTCTAATGAATATAAGGCAGTCTGCGAAAAAGTAGAAATGAGATTTCCTACACTCAGGAAGGCAACTATACATTCTATTGCAAAATTCAATCAACAGGAAGAAACTGAGAGAAACCTTTTTGAAATACAAAAAAATTCTTCAGTTTAAGTAGCATCACTGCTTATGAGGTATTTAGAAATTTTAACCCCTCTACTACTCTCTGCTTACCTAAAGCAAAATCCTCATTATTTTTGTACTAGTAAAACCTTGTTAATGGTAATTTGTTAAGAATGGATTTTGGTAATACATAGATGAAAGTGGTTAACAATTCTTGAGCTCATTAAATCTTAAGTATAAATCTGTATTGAATAGTTGGCGACTACTGTTACTTGCTGACTTTCTTTTTTTTGATACTTTCATCGTGCTTTTTATTTTAGCTGTTTTTGTTACTTATTGATTTCTCTTATTGAATTACAGTTGAGGAATCACACTCCTTACTTTTATATACTTCTCCAAGGAACCACATAAACATAATTAATCCCAGTGAATGAGTATATATTTTTACAGACTATTATTGGAATAAAGAAAATGAAGAATATTTTCAACTGAGGAAATAAAGAACCTATTCAAGTTAAGAAAGGGTGCAAAATTTTGGCTATAACTACAAGGGTAAGAAATAACAGATAAATGGGAAAGGAAATAAAAGAAGTATGCCAGTGGCAAAAATGAGTATACATGGAAAGGCATTAAGTAGCAGAATTTAAATATTTGGGAGAAAGACTGAAAATCAGGAATTTAGGGGTCAGAGAATTTAGGGGTCAGAGAGGTTGATCTAAAAGCCTGCCTGTTGGTACAGGGATTAAGTCTCAGCACTATCAAGCTATAACCAACCACTGTGGCATGAATTCGGACCCTTGCCAGGGAGATAACCCACATGTGGCGCAACAGATCTCTTCTGTCTCACTGCTCCCCTCAACAGAGTATTTCAGTAGATCTACCTGTTCTGCTCCCCACTCTGTCTCTGGTGATTCCTCTTATCACCCCTGCACCTCTGGCCTGTACCCCAGTTCTGTATGCATAAATAAATAAATCTTAAAAAAATAGTAGGGCCTTACAAATACAGTGGTTGAGGTGGTATGTCTAGGTATAATGAAGAAACTTTGGAAACAAATTTTAACTGAATGCTGTCCATGTAATACTTGTCAAACTGCTTAAGAATCTGTTTCTTCTTTTGTAAAATGGAGATTAATTTTACTTTAGAAGGTGCGAAGTCAAGTGAGCTACTGTGTGCTTAACTTTACATTAAAAAATCAGTTTCATTATGACATAGTTAAAGACTTTCAATTATTTTATTATATAATATGTAATTGATAGCAGCATTTAGGAAAGAACAGACATATCAAAGCAAGGAAGAAAGTTATCAGAGACTTGGGACATTTTAGCAATGGGTAACTGTGAATTAGCAAAATGTGTGCCTGATGGCCAGCCAGCAATTCCAAAATCATTTATTGGCGATGTGTTGAAATGCATGATAACCCTAATTTCACAATTATCTAAGCTATCTACTCTGGCATGTCTTCAAATGCATGATACCCTACCTTAAGTTACCTAAGGTCTACTTTGAGGATCCATTCTGATCTATTTATCTATCTACTGTGTATCCCATCTGGTAGCTTTATATTTTTTATACAGTTGATAATAAGGAAAATAAAAAACCTCTACTTATTATTATAATCAAAAGACGACCACAACCTAGGTTTAATAGGTACGATTAACATTAATAGTATTATTACTATTACTATTATTTGCTAAGTTCTATTACTTTAAGGCTTATGAATTTAGATATTCTTATTAATAATTCATTTGTAAAACTGTTACATAGTAGCGGTTCTCAAAGTGGGATCCAGAGGCCCCTGAATGTCTAATGTCCCCCTGGGTCTTTCAGAGGTCTCGTTGGTCAAAGATTGTTACTATGACATTATTTGCCATTTTGAATATGCTGGTTTTGCACTACTGATGGAATAAAATCAATGATGGGAAAACTACCAGCATTTTAGCATGCTTTAAGTCAAAGGAATAGAATCTTCTATAAAACTGCCCTTTTCATGGGACAGTGTTGTAAAACTGTATCTGTAGAGTTACCATTACCTTTAATAACAGTAACCAATAAATAGACGGAATGAGCTTTCTTTTTTTTCTAATTAACTTGCTGTTCCCTCATTTCACTCAATTTCTGCTCAAATGTTATTTTATGGGAGATATGTACTCTAATTTTACATACAATACCTCTTTGTCATTTTCTATCCCCAACACTGTCACCTTTTGATATATTTTATTAACTTTTTCATTTTGTCTATCTCCCTCAACTAGAAGGTAGTAGTAAAGTTGTGTGTTGGTTACTAAGTGCCGAGGATACAATGGGAATCTTCCCCATTCTGGCATACAACCAACAATCAATAAATACTATTCAGTTAATCTCCCTGACTTGAAATGTCTTCTGTATTATATCTGATTTACGGACTTCCACTGTAACCCCCAGATAACTCATCTATATATCTTGTACCAACACAAAATGGTCTTAGTTACTACTATTTTGCTTTTTAGCAGGTATAATATGCCAAATTTTTCTTTTTAAATCACTGCTTCAATTATCATTAATAAAATTATACTTATTAACAAATTTAAGCTTTGTAGTCAAAAACAAGATATGGCTCTCCATTCTCACTCAAAATTTCTTTATAATTTTATGTGGGATGTTATAGTTTTCAATATCCTGGGGGTATTCAGGGTAGTAGTTTTGTCTTTTCTCCCACTAATCTTTCTAACAGCTTATTAATAACAGACATTTCTTAAAAGCTATTGCTTTTAGTATACCTGCATTAAATTATGTTAGCTTATTAAATATTTATATACATACATATATACACATGTATGTACAAACATATATAAACACATCTATGTAAATATCCTCAACATGTCATTTTACAAACCTTTTATTTAAGGTTTCTTCAGGTGATTGCTTTACATGTTGCATGTCTACAATGTTATTACATACAAATTATGACAGTATTGTCACTATCTATACCAAGAGGTTAACTTTTCTATAGTACTAGGTAACTGGTCAGTTCTAAACACTCATTAAATACAGGACAATTCTTTCACTGACTACTTCTTCAGTATTTTACCACTAAATATTATTCAGGCTTTAGTTTGTAATAAACATTTTTATCATGTTTAAGAAGTACTCCTCTACACTTAGGAGTTACTATTTCTAGCAAATGCCTATTCAATATCTATTCAGATACGTATTTTACTCCTTTAAAATGATTAATAGATTTTGTACAAATGAAATATCATCATATTCTTTTATAAACTCTACTTGACTCTAAGTTAATTATGCTAATAAAAAGTTCGATATTATTGGCTAATCTCTTTAGAACTTCTGGATTAATTTTCTATGGATTTTTCATTCTGTCTCTGTTAACTATTGGTACTTGTGTCATAGTGATTTTGCAAAAAGTTTCATGAAGTTTTTATACCCTATATAACACAGAAAACTGGTTAAGTTTATACACTCGGTTACAAGTGTCCAGCTTAAATCTCAGCTTTGCTACTTGTTAATTATATCACCATGGACAAATTCTTCACTTCTCTAAGGTTGAGTTTTTTCAATTAAACAAAGGGTTGTTATGAAGCTTAGCTGAAGAAACTTAGGCGAAATCCTTCACAATGCTTGCATCATGTATAAACTAAGTACATGCTAACTTATCAATGATAGAAGTCCTCATATCTAAGAGAATAGATGGTTAACAGAAAAAAAAATGAGTTAAGAGAATCATTAAAAAATACACAAATGCAAAAAAAAAATACACAAATGCATAATTTAAACATTTATTTTAATTGAAAAATCTAGAAGTGCACATTAATTCTCCAATCTTCAGACATAGGATCAAAGATTTTTTTGAAAGAGGATTCAATAAATCCAATTCTGCTTTAGCTTTCTTGCACAAACCATAACTGCTTGATGATCATCAAGCAGTTTGAGTGCTAAATTCTTCTAAATTTTTGTGCCCTTTTTTTCCTAATTTGATCAGTGCTAATCCATTTGATGGCAACTTCTGTTAAGTCTTTTCAAAGCATTTACTCTAACTTAAACAACATATGTACACTGTTAGAAAGTCAGTATAAAAACTGTCAAAAACTACATCTTGGGTCATTGTACTTTTCAGATGGTGTTAATAGAGTGGTAGTTCACTAGCTGCAAACATTCAGCAATCTAGTAGTATCACGCTAGTATTATTTACAGAAAGAATGGAGAACATCAATGAAACCAGTAAGTATGCTGAAGGGAAGGTTCACAGAATATTAAAATAAAAATTTGTGACTCATAGCAATATCATCCCTAAAAAGTTATCCATATTTTTAAATTTCAAGTAAATTTTCTAAGTTGTGAAGTAAAATTGTAATATATGAAAACCAAAGCTCTTTTAAAATTTTTTTTAAGATAGGGAGTGAAGAGGAGGTTACTTACTATGAATAATTCCTTATTACCTACATCCTGTGACAGACTGTAAATAATGAAGACCTAAACCGGTGGGTATATGCACATACTCCTGTATACATATGTATGTAAGTGCCATTTTTTCACAACAGTCCCAAACTTTAATTCTTCCATCCTGCCATCCATTAAAAAAAATTATCTACCATTCATTCTCACCTTCCTCCTATCTACTGTTCTTTCTCAGCATTACATTTTAAGCCTCAACTCTCTAATGATATGATCATAATAGACTTTATCTTTACTATAGCAAATATCAAAACTATATTCTAGTTTCTCTTTTATTTAACAGTCATTAAGAGAAATGTGCTATTTTCCTCCTGAAAATACAAATTTGTAAGGTTCAAACTTCTTAGAGTATGACTACATACACAGTCACATCCATCTCCCACCCCCCAAAATATTACAATAATGAGCTTACCTTATTAATTCTAGCTGTGCAAGTTCCTGGTTTGCTTGGAATATAGGTTTTTTAGTGAAGAGTTCACCAAGGATACATCTGAAAAAAAAAAAAAATCATTACCAAATCATACAACTTAGTACTAAAACTTTCAAATAAATTAAACCAATATGTCTATCTTACCCACAGCTCCACACATCAATAGCTGGTGTATATCGTTCTTCTCCCAACAGCAGTTCAGGAGGGCGGTACCATAGTGTGATGACCTTGTTAGTATATGGCCGACTAAAAAACACAGAAGGAACTCTTTAGTTAGCATCTTTTAGAATAAAGAGATTTTCCCACGAAATATATTTTTACTATTCCAATTTTCCAATCCTAACTAAAGCCACTTTCATTTGCCTACAAATTATATACATGCCACCATAACTAGTGAATGACATCATAAATTACACCTGAGAACATGAGTAACTGAAAAATCCCTATAATATAAAAAACTAAAGACAGTTGTTTTGATCAAAGAAAAGTGTTTTGATTGCTCAGTACTATTTTTCTTTTACATAACTTATAAAGGGATTAACTGATAAGTCTTTTTTTCTGAATATCCTCCAAATCACATGGATTTAAGGGACATATCACAGAAAATTCCCTTGGAAGGCTGTGTTCACCTAAGGTTTGTTTGAACCTGGGCCAGTTTCGGGGCAAAAGAAAAGGAACAAGTAAATTATGAAGCAATTTCCTCTTGTTAACTATACTTCTGAAGTTCCAGGTAGCATAAGACCTTAACACCTGATCTGTTCTGACCCATCCAGCCAAATTTCTCCAATTAACTTAAATATTCACTCTAATATGCTATCTATCTGGGTATAATGATTATTCTCACAAAACAGAACTATAACAATATTGTGCGTAAGCCAGGAAAAAGGGTAAGCAATCTTTGAAAATAAGAAGGACAGTCTAAAATGTGTAGCAAATTAGGTCAAGCATTATTTATATTTACATAATAAGAACTCTTTCGAACTCCAGATACTCTAATTCAGCAAGACTTAATCACCCTTAAAAATATACCCACTTGGCCCTCCCTGGTGGCGCAGCAGGTTAAAGCATTGCACTGAGAAGCTAAAGCCACTTCCGCATGAGTTCGATTACCACCTGCCCAGGAGGTGACCACATGGTGCGGTAGACCTCTCCTGACCTGCCCGCTGCTCCCCTCAGCAGTGTACTTCATCCATCTGCCTCTGGTGAAGCCTCTCGCCTCCCCTCAGCCTCTGGCCTATATCCCAGTATGTACAAATAAATAAATCTTTAATATATATATATGTGTATATATATATATATATATATATATATATATATATATATACCCACTTGTTAGTATAAAATGAAATTTTGACAATAGTAATAACATGGATGGAATTGGAAAGGATTATGCCAAGCAAAATAAGTCTGAAGGAGAAAGACACATACAGGGTGATTTCACTCATAGGTGGAACATAAAAAAAGCAAAGGAACAGACCAAAACAAACTCTTGATATCTGATTGCAGACCTAAAGCTAACCAAAAATGAGAGTGCAGGGATGGAAGCAAAGGTGAGAAGAGGCTCACTGTCAATGGTGGAGAATTATTAATGTTCAAGTGCATAGTATAATAACTACACTCAAGGGTATAGTGTAACAACATACATTTGTAGAATGTGAATATATACCCTAAATAATAAATTATTTAAAGTAATTAAATGTTACCTCACCAAAAATAATTTTAGTTGTATATATTAATATATATACACATACATATGCTCACCTTTTACTTAACCCCTTTTAAACTTGAAATGGTCTACTTCTCTCGTTCAAGTTCTGTACTTCCAAGACAAGGCAAAATAGATGCTCCAAGGTCCTTTTTACTGAATAACCCCAGTTAAAATTCATTAACCAGAGTTGCTAATTTTGTTGTAGGAAATGAAAAAAGAATCACATAAATGGAAATGCCTTCAGCTAACTAAATTGTTATATACAAAATGCCATGTCTTCTTCAGAATCTACTAGAGACATCTACCAAACAAACAAAATAATTCTGGGATCTTTTTAATGCTTAGATATTCTGAATGCAAAGTCCAGGAGTCATCCTCAATTCTTCTTTCCTTCAGATCTCATTAACAACTTCTGTCAATTATACATTCCCAATATTTTCCTACTGCTACTAATGCAACACCTTAACTAGTTTCCTTATCTCCATTCCTGCCCTGTCTCCCTCACTTCAAGTTTTTTTAAGGGGAAAAAAAAGGCCTAGATCATACCCCTTACTTGGCTAAATTATCCAGTCATTTCCCACCACAATTAAGTAAAATTCAAATAACCTCAACTGACAAGATCATAATCTCAAGCATTTTACCTATTTCATACACTGGGCAACTTTTTAGTCCTTAAATGCTCTAAGTCTATTCCCAGGGCTTTCTGTTGCTGTGCTCCTCTACTTTGAATGGTCCATACCTGGGCCTACATTTTCTAAGCTATTTCTTTCTCATCATCCAGGTCTAGGCTCAGTTTTACTTCCTCAAAGTACTCTTAGCTTAAATTACAAGGGCTGCTATCCCAACACTCAGAGTGACTCTATAGCACTATCTTGTTTGCTTTGTAACATTTGGTATTTTTAATTCTCTCCTCTACTCCAGAGGTGCACTGTTTATCTTTTCTCTCATTACCAGGTAAATGAAACCAGGGACATGGGCTATCTTCTAAAGCTAGCTATATATCTAATATGTAAACCATGGGCGTTGCCTAGATTAGTGTCTGGCATGTAGTAAGCTTTTATGCCACTACTATATGACAATAACACAATCTTTGTTCTCATATCTTTCCCCCCTTCTCTCTATTTTTATTTATACTTTTTTCTTCTTTCTAATTTTCCAAGAAAAATTAATTTGACATTCCTGCATTAACATTGCTACAAAGAAACAACTTAAAATGAACAGTATACTTGGCCTACTAAGCTAGGTTACTTATTGACAACATCTTAAAGAAGGTCCTTTGCAACCATAAGGAGAAAAACTGATTTTCTTCCATGGGACAAAATCTAAAAATATAAATGAGCAATTCAATTTATCCCTAGTTAATGTAAAATTCCAAACAATACTGTACTCCATATTCTGCACAACAAATACACCTACACAACCACTGCCATTTAATTAGAAAAACAAAACAGCAACTCCACTAAGTTGTTATTTTTGGATGGTTAGAGACTAAACTTTGTAAAGATCCAGAAATAATGGTTTCAACATTAAATATTCTGAATTTAAGTATCTACTGAACATCTTGATCATTAACATTTGAAGAAAACAAACACTATTTCTTTGTCTACTAGGAAGTATCACCTAAAAAAAATAGCATTTCTTCATTTACATTTTTTAATTGCTAAAGTGGTTAACTGTATATAAAATGTAAAATTATCATTAAAATGTAAAGTTATCAGATTTTAAACAATAAGATTTTCATGAGAAGTCTCAGGTAATGTTAAACATGATGCTATAAAAGGATTTCTAATTTATAGACTTCTCATTCACTTTTTTTTTTTTTAAGATTTATTTATGCATAGAGAACTAGGGTATAGGCCAGAGGCGCAGGGGTGGCGAGAGGCTTCACCAGGGACAGAGTGGGGAGCGGAACAGGCAGAGCAACGAAGTACACTGCTGAGGGAAGCAGCAGGTGGGTCAGGAGAGGTCTGCCACGCCATGTAGTCTCCTCTGGGGCAGGCGGGAATTGAACTCATGCAGAAATGGCTTTAGCTTTTCAGTGCTGTGCTTTAACCTGCTGCGCCACCAGGGAGGGCCCTCATTCACTTTTTAAGGACTTTAAGAAAGATTCTGAAATGGAACTACACACATCTTGCTAGTATGCTGGAAGAAGTGAACATACTTTGTTGGCAAAAATAAAACACGGTATTTGAAAGGTAAGAGGCAGTAAAATTCAGTAGACTACAACAGAATTCTAAACAAATGTCCCTAAAGCAAACTACAGAGGCCCCAATAGTTCTCTACCTGAGAAATCAAGATTGAATCCAAAATCTTACCAGGAAACACTTCAGTGTAATGAAAATAAATATCCTTTCTATCAAAAGATCCAAGTTAAATTTTAGCTCTATCACTTACTACCTGTGTGATCTTGGAAATACATTTACATTTTCTAAATTTTCCTAACTCTAGTCTTTAAAATGTTCCTAAAACTATGATATCTATCTATACTACCCATATAATAAGGTGTATGCTGTTTGTTATATTTGTTTCTTTCTCTATAAACAACAAATACAAAAACTCTTGAGTTAAGCACTGACAAGTGGTTTCATAAACCAATCAACCAACCATGGCTACAACTACTCAAGAGTTTTAAGGTCTAGTGGCCACAGATATAAATTATAATAATATGTTCTAAGTGCTATATAAAATAATGAATAAGGAATATGTACTAATTTAACCTGAAAAATATGGACAGATTTCAAAGGAAATAGTGACCAAAAAAGCATATTGAAGGGAAACAAGCAAATTTGTCAGGCTGAGATACAACTTCATACAAAAGGAAACAACTTACGGTAGGCTGTATAAAATAATGAATAAGGAAGATGTACTAATTTAACCTGCAAAATATGGACAGATTTCAAAGGAAATGGTGACCAAAAAGCATATTGAAGGGAAACAAGCAAATTTGTCAGGCTGAGATACAACTTCATACAAAAGGAAACAACTTATGGTAGAATAACAACGATATGCAAGAGCTCAGTTAACTTAAGAGATTGCAAATATTTCAACATTCCACCTTAGGGGTATGGGGAGGGGGAGACAGGAATGGCAACTGACAAGAATGGAAGGAAAAAACAATGAAATTCTATTTTCAGTAGCCTATACGAAACATATCTGTATATAAGTGACTGAGTATCTTTAACTGAAATAGGAAGAAAAACAAACAGATTTTTCCCCTGGGGAATGTGAAATATAGGTTCACCTAATTTAAGATAACAGGATCATTCAAGTGGAAATATCCAGTAGAGAAGATTAGAAATATAAAACGGAATTTTGGCTTACTAAGCTTTCAGCATTTAACAGAATGGCTGGAATTCTCTCCACATGAGGAGGTGAAACACTGTTCACTACAAAAATTAAATTGTCCCTCTTATTTTATATGTAAATTACTCCAAGCAGTTACTACAAATGTGCCTTGTGTTTTAAAGAATATTAAACACCAAAGTTTAAAATACAATTTTTAAAAAATACAATGTTTTTTAAATGCTTTTTTAAATTCAAACTGAACATAAAAAGACAGTAATACAAGTAGTAAGATCAGAGTTAAGGAGGTAATTTTCATTCTAAATACAATTTCATCTTGCCTTTTTACAAGTAGTAGCAAAAGGTAATATTCTCCCCTCCCAATACCTAGTACTGGAAAAATTTAGTTTTTTGTTAACTGGAAATTTTATGAAAAGCCACTAGATGGCGATAATGCCCTCGAAAATTTTTTTAAATTTATTTTGACGGTAATTTTTAGAACCATAAAAGATGTTGTTCAACAACCTATACATAAGGAATTTAGAGATGTTTAAATCCTTCATCTTAAAGTTGAGAATAATGAGATGTAGAGAGAAATTATGTCACTTGCCCAAAATTCCACAACTGGTAACATGACTATAACCACATTACTTAATTTTATTTAGTTCTGCTGGGGTTTCATGTCCATTGCTTTAAACAAGTATGTGTGCTACATTATAGTTTACCCTTAGAAAATTAAATTAATTTCAATTTATATAAAAAGCATCTATCTTCTCATATCTGACAGTCACACGGAAGAAAACAATACTCCGATTTGAAAGGACAGAAAAACTCAAAAGGGAAATAAATTCATTATGGCTAAAAGTCTCAGGAAAGACTGGACTTAAATAGCAAAAAAAAAAAAAAAGCAGACAGTGAAGAAAAAGGGCCAAATATTCTTTCCTTAAATCCTGCATGTCCTAGTGCCAAGTGGGGCAAAGATAAATGCTGGTATGCAAAGTAAGAAAATGATTTGTCAAGTTTAATCATTTTACCCCTAAATTTTAACCCAGTGGTTCTTTTTGTTGTTGTTGCACATATGATATAAGAGATACATATTAACATACTCTTAACACACATTTCCTACCTACTAGCTGTAACTCCAAACAGTTTTCCTCAAAGGCCAAGAGTGATATCCAAAATCAATTGATTTAAAGACATAAAGTTGATGCTATTACAATGATAAGCTTAAATCAGCTCTTTTGACACACGCACAAAATAATTACTTCTTTAATACTTCTGTCACAGAAATTACTTAGAAAATGCTTCAAAGTGACTTAAGATGACTTAAGATGGTTTTGCTTTGGTAGTCTTACCTTTCTGCTTTTAATAACAAAGAAACATAAATGAACAACCATTTGTTACATCTTTATTTCAAGAAATATTTAGAAAATTTGAGACAATACAGTATTTGGAAAAGACAAACTTCAGCATCTTAAAATTAAGTATTTCATTAAAATTACTGAAATCCACTTTTTAAAAATTTTAATTAAAATTTACTTTATTAAAATTACTGAAATAATCCATTTATTTTTAATCATCTCATTAAGTCTAATTCTCTGACTTTAAGAAATTGTAATATTCAAATCTGAAAAAAAAGGAGACATTTTAATGGAATGCATAACCCCTTGATGGATAGACTCATACAACATCAAGATTTTTATCTTACAAATATAATTAAGCAGAAAATTCAGTACACATTACCTGAAGATGAAAAGTCATATGATTAAATTTCTTACTGCTGTAAGTTCAAATTACCGTTATCAATTTATCAGGGCAATGGTTCCAATTGGAATCATGGCTCAATGAACATACCACACCCCTAACACTCCGTCAAAACCCAATATTCCATTTAAAAGGAAAAATTAATGGGGAAATGGTGTTTTATATATAAAACTTGGCTTTACAATCAGATTTTCTGGAATACAGTTATTCCAGTATGAACAAGGATCTGCATAAAAAAACTATGAGACAGAAAATGGTAATTTAGCTGCAGTCCATCTGCACTAAAACTTAACATGAAGACAAGAAGATATTTATTTGTAAGTATGACTGACCCATACTTGTATTAAGAAAGAGTGGTTTAACTACAGAGAAGTCTCAATTAACTGATTAAGTAATCAGGCCACCTTATCAAACAGAACCCCTCCTTAAGGACTAGCGATTAAAATTTAGTCATTCAAAAATATACTTCAAGTGAAATTTTAGATTAAGTACCAATTTTTTTTTTTTTGCTTTCAATGCCTACAAAAAGCAACTATTGCATATGATATAAAAAACTGAAAATTGGGAGTAGTAAATCTTGAACGATACAATCTTGATTCTGTCTGAAAGTATTTTTTGATTGCTAACGCCACTCCAAAAATATTTGGGTCTCAGTTTTTGAAAATGCAAAATGAAAGCCAGAATTTTACAGTTAAAAAACTGTATGCTTTTCTAGAAACAACAAAGGCTGGTGAGGATATGGTGAAAAAGGAGCCCCACTACATTGCTGGTGGAATGGAAAGCTGTGCTGAGGTTTAGCAAAACACCAAAAATGGAGCTACCAGTGATTTCATTCCTAGGAATCTACCCAAAGGACACAAAAACATTAATTCAAGAAGAAACGTGCATGCCTATGTTTTATTCAGTAGTTAAAACAGCTAAGTTTGAAAACAAATCAAATGGCCTAAATAAAACAGACCAGGAAGATGTGGCATATAGAATACTACTCAGCCATCAAAAAAAACCCCACACCTGCCATTTATGTCAATATGGATATTACTCAGCCATCAAAAAAAAAAAAACCCACACATGCCATTTATGTCAACATGGATACTACTAGCCATCAAAAAAAAAAACCACACATGCCATTTATGTCAATATGGATGGAGTTGGAAGGGGTTAAGCTAAGCAAAATAAATCAGAAGGCAAAAGATAAATATTGAATCGTTCACTTATATATAGAATATAGAGAAACCAAACAAAGGGTCAGGAAAAAGACAAAATTCAAAGCTGACTATAGATCTAAGACATACAGCAGGGAGGGAGAGGGAAAGAGGTCAGAACATGACAGGAAATAGCACAAGGGACTATGGTAGTGTATATCACTGGTGCTATGGTGTGGGAGAACTACCAGTAGTACTGTATCGGAGGGGAGAAATTAAATACTGTCCAAAAGTAACAGTGATATAATTTTAAAAAAATTATAATTTTTAACCTGTTAACAATTTGAATTTTTTTTAAAAAAAATAGTTTTTAACCTCTATTAACAGTTTGAAAATAAAACACACACAGGAACAAACTACACCCTATCTTAAAATATTAATTGGAAGTGTAGCAGATGAAATAAAAGCAGAAATTAATTAGAAGTGTAGTAGATTAAATAAATAAAAGCAGAAAAACTGTAGGAATAGAAGAATGTTCCTGTTCAAAACAATTCAAACCATATTGAGGTGTTTCATGTACAAACTACATACAACATACAAAAACCTCTAAATTCTAAGCAATGAAAATAATTTTCAAGATGTCAAGGTAATGCAAGATTAAGAAACTAGCAAAGATTCAGTAAAAGTGAATACCTATCTCTAAGAATACCAACTGATATTTCATTACATAAAATAATTGCAGGATTTATATGTATACATAAATATAACTGAAAATAATCAATTCTCACAGAAAAGTAATGGCTAACCTAGAGATTTGCTAATACAGTTAATTTCACAGCTATTTCATAAAATCCATTTTACAAAAAATGTTCTATTTTGACATTTCTTACTAGTTCTACATATTTCACTACTATGGGGCACAAAAAGAGTGAAGTGAAATATATAGGTACCAACTTAAAACAATCTACAAACTGAACTTCCTCACAATCCTTTGTTTATATAAAAGATTCTTAGGAGTTTAAAACAAAGAAAATAAGAAATGTAGTAAAAATTAAAAAAGTAAATTCAACAATTTTTAAAAAGTCTAATTTGAAATATTTAACGTAAAAAGCATATTTCTGTATTTTGCAATATGTAATCTTGAACACAAAAATCACAAGCATCTTAATGCTTAGATGTGTTAGAAGTTTTAAGGATGAATTTGGAAAAAAATTAGATACATTTAAAATGACTAAAATTAAATTGTATTTACCTCTAAGAATTAAAAATCAATTATTTGTAAATTGAGATAAATACATAAAATCTTTAATCAAAATAATCAACCCAATATGGTAAATTTTACATTTTTTAAGACAAGTATCAGTAAGGTATTCTTAGCCCAGCTTCTAAAACTGGTCTCTAGTGTCAATAATATTCATATTTGAAAGTATTCTTACCTTTCTTCAGAGCTATACAATCGAGCAAGTCCAAAATCTGCAAGCTTTATCTGCCCTCTTGTAGAAGAAAGACAAAATAAACAAAAAGTATTAACTACTCTGAATTGTTCACACATATATTCTATTCCAAGAATGAATAAAAATAAACTTATTTAAACTTTAACTCTGACCATACTGCAGTAGTAAGGTCTTGCTGGGAAAGCCAAACAGACAAACTCACAAACAAGACAAAATAAAAAAATGTATTTTTGGGGATAATTTTAGCTATGGTACTAATACTTACTGTTGTTATCTCTAGTCTATAACAGTACTAATATAACAGTATTTCAGTATTAGTAAGATCCTATTCATACAAGTAAATCAATGAGGTAATTGTTCAATCTATACTGTTCAATCTATACTGTTCAAGAATTACCGTCATATTGTTTAAATTTTATATTTAATTTTACAGTTTTTAGAAGGAGTAGAACACTTTCTACTAAAATCAGGACCAGACATGCTTAAACAATAATACCAATTACAACAGAGTTGGTTCAGATCAGTTAATATTATTGATAAAATACTTAAATTAATTCAACACATATGTATGCATGTATGACTGTGGATGTACATATGTTAAGTGTGTGAGCATACTTTAAAGAAACTTACTTTAAAACTTTGATGACATTTAAAATCTAAAATTTATTGGTAACATAAAGCTGAAATAATCTTACAAGATACATTATTTAAAGGAATAACAAACATCAACTATCATTTTGTATTATAAACTATTACTAGAACTTAATTAACTAGAGTATATTTAACTTTAGTAAATATACTTCAGATAGGGCCCAAACTATCATATTGCTGAATATGTTAAAATAGCTTAAACAATGAAAATAATTTTAAGTCCTTCAACAAAATCACAAAAAGCGTTTAGAACATTAATTTTATATACATTAACTCATACCTATTATTTAGAAGAATATTTGAACATTTAATATCTCTATGCAAAAAGTTCTTCTTATGACAGTAATCCAGACCTTCCATGAGTTGTCTCATAAAGGATTTTATGTGATTTTCATTAAAATGTACCAAGCCTGACTCCAGTAGTCCCATCAGGTCATGGTCCATATATTCAAAAACCAGATAAAATGCACCTAAGAACAGGAATAAGTAATACATTAAAGATGTTTATTCTTAAAACTTTTTTATATGTTCCATTATTTTTTAAATAAAATGCTAGGAAAAAATTTATCCTTGAAAAGAAATCATAGACTGGTATCTACCCGAAAGACACAAAAACACTGACTGAACCCCCATGTTTACTGCTGCTTTATTTACAATTGGAAAAACATGGAAGCAGCCCAAATGCCCAAACGCAGATGACTGGATTAAGAAGATGTGGTACATATATACAATGGACCAAAAAAAAAGAAACACATGTCTTTTGCAACAACTTGGATGGAGCCGGAAAAGATCATGCTTTGTGAGATAAGCCAGAAAGAGACAGAAAAATACCGGATGGCTTCGCTCATGGCAGGAGTATAATGGACCAGGAGAGAAAATAAGAATAATGAACAGCCACATACCAGAGATATTTTGAGGGTATGGAGTGGGGAATGGGATCAAAAACGGGGGGTGGAGGGTGAGGAGGGAAGTGCACGGGATTATGGTGATGGCACATGGGTGACTCGGTGATGGGAAACCCGCGGGGATTACAATTGAGATGAAAAAAAAAAAGTACAAAATGATGTAAAAATAAACTGTTATAAAAAAAAAAGTCATATTCTGTCTTTCAGTTTGAATTTAGTACCAGTAAATATATTGCAAGGAAATATCTTTGTGATATAAAATTCACCTCGATGACTTCCACAATCTATAATTTCTATGTAATTCAACCATTTTTACATATTAAACAAACTATCCCTCAGCAGAAGCTAATTTAAATCAGTGTCATTTATAAAAGAAAATAAAGGTGCTAAAGAAATGCTTTCAATTAAAAATGACTGTGGGCCTTGGTGAACTTCAGATGATTTCTATTAAGCCTTCAGATGATTTCTATTAAGTTATATGTACAAACATATAACCTCTGTTTATACAGCACTAGAGCATTTGAAAGCATGCAAATTAAAATTTTATTTTACAAATCAGCTTAATTCTGCTTTCACAACCTAAAATAGTACATAGTAAACACATATCCAGTGTACTTATGAGAGATTCAAAAATCCTATGTGAAAATGGCATAAACTAAATCCAAAACTATAGCAAGAAATAGCTCCATCAACAGGGAAATATTTCCCTATTTTTGTTGAGGAAATGATTGTGAACTTTGCTTTTTTTTTTTTTTTTGGTGTATTCATAGTTTTTTCCCTTTGACAGGTATACTGAATTTTATTGGCTTTTCCATTCTTCAACTGATCAATTCAGCAGAGATCTTGTAGTAAGCTTACATCAGAAGTACTGTTTCTTGAAAGCTTTTAATTGTACCTCTCTGAAACACCAACCAACATTCATGTTTAATAATTAGCAGGTGTAGTGCATAAAACAAATGTTCATTACTAATTGCTCAAGTAAACAAAATTAAAGACAAGGTGTAGATATTGAAAAAGACCAAAAAATGATAAGGTTGACTATCCTCCTGGGAAATCCAAATAAAAAGGCAATGACTATATTATAAAAGAAAAATCACAAACAAAAAGCCAAGATTTGATAAGCCAGCAACAACCAACACTAATAAGGACATGGAGCAATATATATTCATTCATTCATTGCTTGTAGGAATATAAAATCATATATTTTCTTCTGAAAACAGTTTGGAAGTTTCTTACAAAGCCAGATTCTTATATGATCTAGCATTAGAGTTTCTTGGTATATGTTCGAAGGAGCTGAATATTTATGTTCACACAAAAACTTGCATATAAATGCTACTGCACTTTTATTTACAATCATCAAAACCTGAAAACAACCAAGATGTCCTTCAGTACATTAATGGATAAATACATGGTGGTACATTCACACAATAGAATATTTAAGGGGAAAAAAATAAACTACGTAGCTATAAAAATCCATGGTGCAAACTTAAATGCATTAGTACTAAGTCAAAGAAGCTGATCTTACATATCATGTATTTCCAACTATATGACATTCTGAATAAGATAAAATTATGAAAATATTTTAAAAAGTGGTATCAGTGACTGTAAGGATTTGAAGGGGTGGGGAGGAATAGCTGGAACAGGATTTTTAATGAAAATATTCTGTGTGTCTGTCATATACTCAGCTTCCACTTTCGTCTCTCCCTGTTACTGTCTGTGGGTACCTCTCATACTCATCAAACACTGTGCATATCTGTTGGATTCTGTGGTCTGCTTGACTTACTGCCATCTCCTCACTTCTGGTACATATAGAGGGGTGTGTGTGTGTGTGAATACCTATGTATTTGTATGCAAATGTACATAACCAGTTAAAACAAGTTGAAAATAAGAGAAAACAGAAAATTAGAAAAATATATTTATTTGCATTACTTCAAAAACTATGCTAAACTCAATTAACTTTGATACTTCTAGGAACTTATTTTCAAAAGAAAAATATCAAAGGATTTAGAGCTGAAAGTCCTTAAAAGTAAGCAATCTTAAATTCTGTAAAAGTTGATCACAGTATATTCTCAGGCCTAGCCAGAGCAACAAAATACAGCAAGGCAATTACACCAATTACTATGTTATTTGTGTTTCTGATCCCCTTCAATGAAATGACAGTTACCATTATTATTTACTATAATTAAGTGAAATCCTTAAAATGTCTGTAATACCAAAATTCAAGTAAAGTACTGAGGCCTGGGAATCACTGCTAAATGGTCAGGTCTTCCTATCAACTCCAAAAGGCCCTGTGCTATTGAGATGTTTAATACCACAGGCTATGTTTTAAGATAGACTTCTATTAATACATACTTCTTAGTTCCTGTCACAATTGGATTGTTTTCACCACCCAATGCATACTAACTTGGTCAAAAAATGGTAATTTATCAATCTTCTAAATACTCCACCCTGTTTTTGGATTGGAATAAAAAAAGGTAACAAAAATCCAATGATGAAAGTCTAGGTTCCCTCTCTTCATTTCATAGTGCTGGTTCTATCTCAAGGTGGTTTGAGAGAATACAAGAAAACAAGCAATAAATTCACTGGCACATTGATTTAAATGAGATGAAATTAAATTTTCCACTTATGAACAATTCCAAAATAAGGTTTTCACTATGATCAAATTTATGAAAAGGCAAAATCATAGCTTAAAATAATTTATAAAAATGTGTTTTTAAATTCTTAGATTATTCCTAGTGGGAAAAACCTTTTCAAGAAAAAGAGAAGAAAGACCAATCAGATTTCAATTACCCATAAAATCTAGAATCTACTTTTTGTTCAAGGCTGAAAAACTAGTGTTTGTGCTAATAGTGATGGTGAATCTGGACCAAAAAAAAAGTTTCCATTTGCAAATCCTAATTTAAATTTTTTAATATTAAGCATTTTACTTATATAATTTTTTTTACTGTATCAATTACTTTAGACTTAATTCAACAAAACAGTTAATAAAACTGTGTAGTCTATAAGTACAAAAATGAATAAGAATTGATTATATCAAGTGCCTAGTAGGATAGAACTGAAGACAGATCATAGGTTTTTAAAGGTAGTGCTACCCAGAAAGAAAATACCTGATTAGAGTAACAGGAACAGATATTAAGCTGAAAATTAAAGCAAGGTCAGCAGCTAGAAGGATGATGAGGGCAAGAACCATGTTCATGTTGACATAACTTGAAATGTTCACATTCGTGAAATGTGAATGTGACATTATCAAGAGACTAGTTGCAGCTATGTGGAACTCACATGTAGTAAGAGAGATTTATTTTTCTGTCTTATTTAAAACAGGTTAGATTTGAGTAGGTTTACTCCTAAAAAGAACCAGTGGAGGCAGGGTCTTGAAAAAAATCAGCTTCAAGGAAGAATGAGAAACACTACTTTATCTGAGACAAAAGAGTGAAGTCAGTACAGTGTGAGGTAAGAACATGGAAAATTAGATGTTGAGCGTGAATTCTCATTGGGCAAGTGTAATTTTCTCTGTAGAAAAGGATGCATTGCTTTTAAGAGAACAGGAATTCCTGCTTTGTAAAACATAAGGTGTTTACTATGGAATGTCAGGCTGTCTTGATGTCCTAGCTTAGTACACCATAAATGTGAGGAAAAATGAACTTACACAGTTGCATGATTTTTCCTCAGAAGGTTTAGTATATAAAAAAGTGATCAATCCAAGTTTGAAGACTAGGGCAGGTGAAATGGACACAACTGTCAAGAGGTATGAATTTCTTGAAGAGTCCAAATATCTTTAATTCATGAAAATGTAAAATCAAAAGTAAAGTGTATTATTATTATGCTTTCTTAAATTCAACATTAGAAATAATCAAGGAAGAGCATTTAATGGATATGATTTAACAGTTCTAACTGTAAAAGAGCAGCAAAAATCATATTGCTTTTAACTTGAGAAAACAAAAGTCAAATACTAAATATTTGTGATGTGTAAATCTTCAAAATATTTATGTGAAATTCACAAAACATTTCTATCTAAAGTTTGCAAGAAAAAAGAGAAAGCAAAAACATTTCTTCCTGTGGCCCCTCTGTCTTTAATTGCTAGGAAATATGTCCAGTTTTAACAGAAGGAAGTAAATTGATCTAACATTAGAGTCCCAATTTATATAGTATTATTAAAGATAGATAGATGGAGAGATTCCTCCATTCTCCTTTGACCCTGTTTACCATTCACATGGAACACAGAAAAAGAACTTATTTTCCCAGTTCCCTTAGTCCTACCTCAGCCCAGTCCCAATCCTCAGCTCTTATGACAGAAGTCCTTACTCAACAGAATGTAAATAAATACTACTTGGTATTTATACTACCTGGTATTTAGATATGTCTACCTAACTTAATCCTGTCCTGATCCCTAGCACCTAGAATCATGAACAGTATCAAGTAGGTGCTCCACAAAAACTTACCAGGTAATTTCTTCTGAAAGAATTCAAGGATCTTATTTCAGCCTTTTTACTTACCAAAAAGTCACATTTGTAACACTGTATTTCCCACAGGCCAAAGAAACAAAAAAAATGTCTTGGTGTAGGAGC